TTAACCTATATTTCTGAGGGATCTCAAGACACCGCTATGATTATTCCTGCGGCCTGCTATGCTAGGGGTGATAGTGCCGCTCGGAGCGTAATCAACAGGCGTTATATAAATTTAAAGAAGAGAGTACTATAGAAATCTACTTCCTCAGAAATACAGAACAAGGAGTTTACAAAACCGTCGAATAAAGTGAAATCGAATCTTGCATTTCAGACTTTTTGGGCGTTATTAGCGTTTCAAAAGTCAAAATACTCCCTTCCTTCATGCAATAAATTCGATGAAGACGAAGATTCAACTGAAATCCGTATAAAGGTATTTTTCCGCACTTTTCTGCAAAATATGACGAAATTTGCACAGGCATCAAAAAATGGAAAAACACGCATGCTAAGTAGCGACTTGTTTACAATTGTTTTCGACACAGGCGGCTGCATGAACGCTTATTCGAAAGCCAGCATACTATCATGCAGGAATTTACCCCGCACTACGTTCACTGACAATTAGTTTTGCGAATCCACTCGTCTTGTTCAATTGCTGGAAGCACACCAGAGTATTCTGATTTAATCCAGCAGTTAGGCTGTACATGGTATCGTCACCATTGTGTCGTACGCTCCACTCGCACGAAACATGGTAACTAATTACGCCTTTCTGGACGCGGTATTCTGCAGTGCTCACCCGCAACCTGACTCGCAAAGACGTCACCTAAAAGAAGTAGTTCTCGGTTTTCGTCTTCACAACGAAATGAAATTCTAGACTGCCGATTTAACTGTTTGAGATGCCCAAAGGGGATTTGCTTTCACAAAGAGATAAGAGTCTGACAGCCTGTCAATTATATCACTCTACGTGACGTCGATGCTACTTCAGACCGAACGGCCACTTCACAGACTCAACTGGCACAATATTACGTGAGGGCTGGCAACGCGAGCAAGTTATCGCTACTGCCGGCGCAAGAATCAAGCTGGGCAGGATAGTCACCGCAGCGAAAATAAGAAACTTGATTGGCGACCAGACTCATTAGTTCGTTAAACTGTTAGAATAACCGTCCAATATTTTATGCAGCTGCGTTTTTAAATATTAACAGAAAGCCTTACTGGTTAAGACAACTGACGGTCGATTCGCTTATCAAGTAGTTTAACCATATTTCGCCTTGGATTAACATCCCGTGGCTTTACTTATTCTGAACTTGGTAACGCAAAACATAATCAGAAACATGTTTTATTTGGATCGAACTACGGGGAACAGGCTTCACACCTCATATATAAGCCTGACATTTTCGGTGGCGCACAAACAGCTTGGAGTTTACACTTTCGGTCCTCAGGGAATGTCATCAGTCCAGACGCATTCCATTTGAAATGTCTCTGCCCCTCTTAAAAGCCCCCAATGAGAGATGGCATTGAATATACTGCCCAGTTAGGAAGTCGCCGGACTAGACTGGTGTTTCAAGTGTACCAATGAGGTTGTGACGAGACCTGCGAATGTAGAGAACTCAAAACACTAATTGCATAAGGCCCTCACCCTAACAAGTCTCTCCCTTATTTGTTTCGAGGCGCATGCGCATTGAAGTGCGATTGACCTTGCAGCATGCAACATGCATAATTGAAAAGGCTGCTCAGAGAAGAGGCTGAGTTTATAGACTGAATTAAACTTAGCAGGAAGCAGGATCCACAAATTTTACTTTGTCTCAGTACATGACCGCCGATTTAAATTTTAGCAAAGCCATTCCGCTGCAGTCTCTTCTACTACCGTTTTCACTTATCTTCGATTGACTTTCTCTGATGCCGCCGTTGTCATTTGATATAAAACGATCTCAGAAGAAGCGTGTGCGAACGCTGGAATAAGTTTATTGGCCTGACTCGGGCGCAGCATCAGAGACGCAGATAAGTGTGATGTAGGTACAGGGGTGCAGTACTTGTAGGACGCAGTTGCTATGCCACAACATGCCTACTATAATTGACGGCTTTCTCGTTCTTCGCGGGGGTCGAATTTGATGCGATGCCTCCGAGCCGTTAATTGCCATAATATTTTCACCGTTGTTGATCCTTGATGGTAATAATAACTCCGTAACTTGGTTTATAGAAGTTTTGGCAGATTCTGAATAATTCATACTGACCCAACTATCAAAAACTCGGCGCCTCGGTGGGATTCGAAACCACAACACTAATGGAAAGGCTTTAGTACAACCCACGCGCTGGCCACCCAAGCTACGAGGCCCGTTTGCACTGCAACTTTTGATCGCCTGCGCCTCCTCCCCCAAATGGCTAATTACTGTTCCTAGGCGAAGTATCGGCACATAATCTGAAGTCGTGAGGTCACTGCGCTTGTAAATCGACTTCAAGTCCGAGAACCATGACTCAAGCGTCGAATTTCAGCAGAACCAAACTATAAGGGTTACTATTGTGCATGTTCGGCTCCACGCGTCCAGAGAAATATCCCAGTTTCTCCGGCGTAGTTGCCTTGTTCGTATTTAGACCAGATCCAGTATACGCGTCTAGACGCTTCCTGCCGCTGCAGTGGGTCTTTCAGCCTCAGTACTTGACGGTTGGTAGTTGCCTACGGTCTGTGTGCAACTCCAAATCCAAGTGGTGTGGGAAGGTGGCTGACGACTTCCTAGGAGTTCTTCACGCGTTTTCATATATGTCATATCTAACATTACGTCCGTCGCATCCAAGATTTGAAAAGCAGATGCTGCAAAAACAGACGAGCCGGTTTCGGTTTATTGTTATTAGGAGATCCATCGAGCTAAATGTCCGGTTGTGGAGGTTGCCGAGGGTTGGAGTTGGCTGTGGTGATCGCATTGTTCTGATAGTGCGCTTCCCTGTAGGGGCTAATTGGGAAGTAGCCAAATCGTAGGGGGGTTTTCGCGACCCTGTCTTTTCCGAACACTCCGGTATGGGTTTACTAATAATCAGATAAGGTCGCGGAATATGGATAACACAGTAATCCCGAAATCCTTAACAGCGTACATCCATAACTGGTAGGGCGTTCAGATAAATTAAAGCCGACAACCGGGTGCATACCTAGTCTTCTCGGTCTGGGACTGGAGTATGGCTGTCAGATGACGAATAACACGTTAGCAAGGATCAATACAACCTTTATTGGCTTTCCCATTAATGTACGCCTCTTCCTCCAAGCCGAGCATAGAGACTGGATTATATCCAATGGAACGCATAATTCCCAAATGCAAAAGCTTTAAAATATTTAAGTCAGGGCTCAAGTCAAAAATCGCCGAGAAACCTAGTAAGTCGCAGTGCCCAAGCGCAGTCAGGTACATCCTCGCTCAAGGTTAGTTTGGCCTCTAGCGGCATCCTGACCTACGTCTTCGCTATTTACTCGTGATTTTTCGTGTTTGTCCTGTTAGGACGAGTGCAGATGGGGCAAGAGCTAGAGATATTGTGCCACACCAGGTCTTACATTGAAAGGAATCACAATAATGCCACATTCTGCTACCATAGATCAGGTAGACCATTAAATCGTATGTTAGCAGGCAGACTGAAGCTGGACAATAGGAGCAGCGTGACACGGATGAAGAAAACCATCGGACATAGAGACAGGAGCGGGTCGATCATGCACTACCACCACTCCATCCTGTCTCCTGTCTAAGTCCTACTTGCATACGTCAAGTTCATTCATCGCAAGTGACGACATCACAGTCACAAAGAGGGCACAGCGATGGCATGTGCGGCATCCGACAACTCGACCGTCGTTTCCGACGATGTCCACCGTGTGAGCAACAGAGTGAGAGCAGGGACAGTGACTTGCGCGCGACTTAGATTGTAGTGATAGTGGACTTTCGCAGCATCTACTGCACGCCTGCGCCCGGTGTCGAGACGACTGGATGGAGAGGGCGCAGGTGACTGGCACGGAGAGAACCCGAGCTTATGCGTGTCGCCATGCCCCCTGATCCACAACATACACTGACCAGGATTTCACATCACAACAAAGTAGGGGGCGGCACAGATCTCGATTGGCGCGGTACGGACCTGTACATGGGCGTGCCACCACCCCTAACTTTGGCGTTTGTTGAGGGTTCGCATTTCCGACACCGCCTGCCGGGCTCCGATCTAGCCCGTGGTCCAGCGCATGTAACGCGTGGACCGTTTTACAGGCAAGTGCAGCATCCGCACACCCAAACATCATGTCCTAATGGCCAGACGGACAAGAATGAAAACGAGCGCCAGCTGGCGAGGCCAAAACCACGCCTAAACTGGTGTAGGGGCCACTGCGGCCAGCTGTCAAGTCCTGTGTTATCCTGCCAATCGGCAAATCATCCAGGTCAAGATTGTAAGCGCAATCACAGCATCGAATTGTGCTCGCTTGTTCTTAGTGAATGTAGGCGTTGTAACCGAGCTGGAACTTCAAATTGCTCCGCGACGTCGCCAGCACGTAAATGCATAATCTCGGTTGTGACAAAACGAAGTGGATAGAACACAACCCCACCGACTATAGGTGGATTTGCTGGCAAATTGACCAAAGCACAGATTGTCGCGAGGCAAAACTGATAGTTTCGTAGTATTTTCGCGCTGACAGAGAGGAACTTTGATATTTAGAAAAACCAAAAAATAGGCTTTGTCTATCCTATCAGGAGCAGTTACTGATCACCTAAACTACCTCAGAGATACCACGACTTCGACAACTTAAGTGCCACACTTGGCACACAATTGGCTATCATAAGATGCGACTCGCCTGGATGGCGACGGCTACTCCCTGATACAGACCAAAGCAGAGTGATTGTCAGGGCTGCTTTGATAATAATCAGAGCACATCAGAGAACATAGTATAAGAAATGACACCGACGGCAGTTGTGTGCAAAGACCCGTTTGTTTATTTTAGTAAAAACCGCCATTCAAAATTAAGGTAGAAAGAGAAGAGTACAAATAATTGTCACGCATTGCCGCAAAGGCAGCGAGAGGGAGAAACAGCAAAGTACACGTGGCTACCGGCTTGTGACGAAGGAAGTAAAGTTGAAAATGCACAGGGCCGTAGGCGAGGGAGAAAAACCGCTAAAATTACGAGAAGAAGGCTGGGTAGAAGCGCTGCACAGCGTTGTCTAGAACGTCACGCAGTAATGCTGCCGCTCTCTGCACATCCGGGAGTGCAAACGGCTGAAAGGGGGAGGAAAGTGTGGTGCAAAGGTTAGGCTTTTGCGAAAAAGGCGCAGTGGCGGTTAACTTTGCGCCAATCACATCCCACAGCTACCTGAGAAATATTTCAGCATCAATACTGTCAAGTCGGTGAGCCGAATGCAAAGCAACAGGGCTCAAGAAGCAGCCTAGCGGCATCCACGGCCGGGAACAACATGCGAAATAAGGTTAACTTGGGCAATACAAGCAGGAGTAAATAAAAGCAGTCAAATAGGTTGTAAAATAAATTGCACAAATCTAGCACAACAACCACTGCGGACTAATAATTAAATCTCATCTACAGTAGGTGGGCCAACTCATGAAATGCTAACCGAAAGTCCAAAACGCGTTTTCCTTTCGAAAAGATTAACTAAGCACAGTTGTAAAACTATTCAGCCGGCAACGTAGTTCTATAATATTCCAGTTACCTCAGGATGTCGGCTTTCGAATGAACTTCCCTCCGACTGCATACAAAAACGACACTCTGTAAAAAATAGCTACGTAAGTAGCGTGAATTTTTCCCATTGATGTTCGATGCCCCTAAAAGTCCAATTGTATTTCACGACAAAGATGCATAAAATGTTCATTCTTTCGTTCATTCGGTAGAGAATTAGTCTTCTTCTAATTTTATGCTCGGAGGGTTATATTTCGGTTTTAAAAAGTTTCTAATTGTGAGACTTTTAAATACCGTGAAATGGCCGTTCATAAATCGTCATATCTCAGCATTTACCAATGTGGCTTGCAAAGTTAACAATATGGATCAAATCGAATGCTAAATTTTTGAACCCCATATGGTCTCCCCTCAATACCGTAGAGAAATGTGTGGTTTTCCGTACACGGAAAATATAAGGCATGTAGTTCGGAAACCCAGAATCCAAGTATAACGGCAAAGCGTGTTCGAAATTATTCGGGAATTAGAAAACTTTTTAAAAACCAAATTATGTTCCTCCTTCGAGTAAGAAATTAAAAGGAGACGTAATTAGCTACCGAATGAGCAAAAGAGTGAATACTGTTATGACCACTTAAGTGGCATGAAATCTTTTCATTCATTTTCAATGCCCCTAAAACTCCAATTACACTTCATGGAAAACATGCATAAAAATATTCATTCTTTCGCTCATCCCGTAGAAATTGCGTCTTCTTTCAATCTTATACTCGAAGGAAGGGTGTAATTTGGTTTTCAAAAAATTTTCCAATTCCCGCATAATTTTGAACACACTCTGCCGTTACACTTGGATTCTGGGTTTCCGAACTACAAGCCGTATATTTTCCACGAAGAGGAGACCATATAGAGTTCGTAAAATCTAGCAGTGGATTTAACCCATGTTGTTAAATTCACAAGCCACATTGGTAAATGCAGAGACAGGAAGATTTATGAACGGACATTTCACGGTATTTAAGTCTCACAATTAAAAAAATTTTTAAAACCGAATTATGTCCCTCTTTCGAGTATAAAATTGGAAGAAGACGCAATTTTCTACGGCATGAGCGAAAGAATAGATATTTTTATGCATGTTTTCCATGAAATATAATTGAACGTTTAGGGTCATTGAGAATGAATGAAAAAATTTCATGCTACTTAAGCGGTCATTTTTCACGGAGTGTAGTTTTTGCATGGAGCTTGAAGGAAGTTCATTCGAAAGTCGGCATCCCGAGGCAACTGAATTATTATAGAATTGTGCTGCAGGCTGATTACTTTTACAACCCTACTTAATTAATCTGCTCGAAAGGAAAATGCAATTCGGAATTTCGGTTGACATTTCATGAGTTAGCCCACTTACTGTATATAAAGTTGAGGAATGGTATGGCAATAACAAATCCCCGGCCGTCGAGCATGCGGACGGATTAGGGAAACTACACATCAAAATTGAGTCCAATCCAAGAGAAATAAACAACTGTAAAAAAGGGGAAACAGAAACAGACGGACAGACAGAGTCATCCAGTCGTAATCCACTGGATGTCCTAAGAGTGAAAAACAACTAGGGCACACTAGAAAATCAGTAGTTTAAAAGAGTTTGTAGTCAACGTGCAGAAGGATTAATGGGTGGCTTCGTTCGACGCTGCCAAATATTTTCGCCTTGCCCTAACTAAGTGACTTCACCACAAAAGCAACTTTCCTAGTCAGGACCGTCGTTAGGGAACCAAGTTCAGTGTGGGAAGTTAACTGCCGGACATGCGTACAGCGTTTCCCGCGCAATCGAGCAGAGTGAATACCTGTGACTGGCAAAAAGCTGCGCGTCAACGGAATTCGTGATTAACATGGTCATTTTGGTTAACAATAAAACGTCTTTAAAGTCCATCCGCTTGAAGACAACTGGCGCCTGCATGTGAAGGTTGGAGGGCCTTGACCCGCAGATCCATAATATAGAAGTCCTTGGCAAGGCCTGCCGAAAAATTTGCCGACACCAAAGTCCCCCAAGTTTAGCGCCCTCTACTCTGGCAAAACCCTAGATCCTAATCTGTGAGAGAGCGTTAAGGGGACAATGGGTCATCTGAATTTGTCTGAAGAGGTGACAGGAAGCCGTCTCTTAGAAGGACTTGACGCAAATCGTCTCTGAAAGGGGATGTAGCTAGCGAGTTTCATCCTTTCCAATCTGCCGTGTGGAAGTACCTTCATCCATCTGACATGGGAAGTACTCGGGGACATGCCATTAAAAGCTAGCGATGGAGCAGCCAAGGTATACTTTTTGAACACATTTGGTGAAAAGCACCATTAGCAACAGCTGCGAAAAAATCATCAGTTCTAACCATGGGCATAAAATATTAAAACAGAGTAATTTTAGACTTATCCTCATAGTGACGAGACTGCTTTATAAATCCAGGTGATGAACACATTAAAAGAAACGAATAACATCACAAGAGTTATAGCATGTGTCGGTGAAGGACAGACGATTACAGACAGAGTTAATTCACCCAGGGTGAAGAAAACCAGATTTCAAACAAAGATAGTGCCAAAAACTTGGCTCGTTGCTGGAAGCAGAAATTACAAAGGTTTCGTAAGGACAGTAATGTTTGACACCACAACGTGATAAGTCGTCGGTCCATGTGACGATACAGAAATTCGAGATCTAGTGGAGGAAGCGTAACCAAGAAGAACCATTTCCTCACCAATGCACGCAAAACCCACCATGCATCCCAAGGTTTACATATGCCCACAAAGAGAATATCATGAGTGGTGGCGAATGTTCGAGTTCAGGATAGGAATAATGATGGCTGGTCAAGCACCGGAACAATTTGTTAGTTTTTCTGAGCTTTCGAATCAGTGCAGGAGTCCATCGGCAGAGAAAACAGAAGCGAGAGGATGCAAGCATTCCCAACCGTCCGATTGCCCCGGATATAGGGACAGCACCTCCTAACTTTTGGGACAAACAACGAATACGCTCAAACAGTCCTCGTACAGCCTGACATACGCTCACGATGTTTTCACACTGAATGCTAACTAGCTCATTTGAGATGACGTCGGTGTGCTTCAGACGAAGGGTGGTCAAACGCCTCAAGTTTTTAGTATTTCACGCAGCCCCTATGTTAACAGACATCTGAAACTGCCCTATCCCCAAATAATCGGCATTCATCCTGCGGTGTGGCTCCTGGCCAGAAATGTAAGCCGAAAACACTTGCTGCTCCCCAGGTAAGACGACTGATTTGGCAGGGTTATTCACCAACAAACCTACTCTATGTGCGCCATTACAACTTGGGGCCAGCAGGGCTGCCTCATCAGTGAAGTCGTAGGAAGTCAGCTGGCGTTGCAGGAAAAGATGACAGCGTCAAAGATGCGTAATGATTCCAAGGATCTGGGCAGTTGCGCGGTTAAAGAGGATGGACGACAGAGTGCGACCCTATCGCACGCCAGACAGTTTGCGGAAATCATTGTGGAACAGAACTCGATCAGTTCTGGGGCGATTAGAGGCTTGAATCACAGCGGTTATTTCTGTCGGAAAACCGTCTGGTTTCCTTAGTCGTTACAGGCTCACCATGAACGTAGTCGAAGACACTAATGGGACAAGTAAGTCAGACTACTCTCCGACTCCGGCAACCATACTTCAGCTGATAATGCATCACATAGTGCAGCTTCGGTTGATGTATTAGCGCACCCCTCTGTAACCGGCTTATTTTGTTCTGGACCCTAAGTCACGCACACTCTGAAACCATCTGAGTGAAGATGGCAAAGGCCTCTGCGGCAGTGTCGATGAGTCTTATGCCGCATTGGGCTAGAGCAGGATAATACCCCGCTGCAGACGAAAAACGGCGTTGATGGATTGGTCATAGGGGTTGAGTATTCGCTCATAAGGTCCACGCCAACCCTCGACTTTGGCCGAGTTTTCATAAATAAGGATGCCATTCACATCGTGAACAGTCCTCCAATCAAGGTTGGTAACTCCTTCGAGTGTCGCAGACACTGAAAGCCTGCCTCATAGGAGTCGCCACATCAACCCAGTATTATTTCCGATCGTCTCTATCCGACTTCACCGTCTATATCCGCAATTGATGGGGGAGCTCCTTTTTATGTGACCTGACTCACGCAGCCTGCACAGACCACGGTTGGGTCTTTGAGCCGATTCAGCCATTGAGACGTCGTTGGGCGCATCCGAAAAGTCTATCAACTGCTGCGCAAACTGGGAACTTTAGTGACGACCATCTACTACTGACCCCCCCCCCCCTTCAAAGTCCGATTTCTGTGCCCAAAGTCTTGATTGTGATGGGTTGTTGAAATTCTGCAACATCAAGACGTCCTGCACGAGACATTCTAGGGGCGTGTGAAGGGGGGGGGGAGCTTTCAGACGTGTGCGAACAAGTATTTGTTCCGACGCATAAGAATTGCCGACTTGGCCCCCACGCATTGATCTTCTCTCATTAGCCCGATTAAGAAATTTTGAACTGACTGAAGTGTGGCAAATCTGACTGATCGTACGGCCACCGTCTGGATATGAAGTTAGCAGAGGTTAGTGGCGATTATGAAAGCGTGTATTTGGTGACAAACAGCATAAACTGAACGTTCCTTCCCTATTATTGCATCGGAAGGCAGCTCCCAGTTGGGCGGTGCACTTCGCCTACTATCTGTCCGTACAACGGTACTAGAATTGCACAACATGTTCCTGTCCGTAATGGACGTAACAGCGATTGCAACAACACCTGCTGATATTTTACACACACGGTTTCGTGGTACTTGAGTACAGACGGGTTCTCAACGGTCGCCAGATGGCTTGTCCGAGTTTGCCTCTTCAGCGCTTTCGTTCGAAAAAGTAACCGCAAACCACGATGGCAGGCATGGCGGCTCGCGATCGCCAGTCACAGTGCTGCTATCGAGCCTATTGCCGGGCTCCAGCCGCTCGCGCCCTGGTAGTACTGTCGCTGATGGTCGGCAATTGCTTATTCGTCAGAGCCAAGGGTTAGCATATTTGGCGGCTAGGCCTTCTTGAAGGTCGTTCTATAGTCCAACACCTGTGGACGCACCGCATAGTCAGCATCTAGTTTAACGGGAGAGCCCATCTTCCTGTACAGTGTTGACATGGAAGGTGACAAAGACTGCATGGCAGTAAGGATACAGTTTTCGACAGCCTACCTGAACATGGACACCATGTTCGGTCAAAATTATCGTCATAGTCCTAGCTGCAGTGACTTCCGTAGTGGAAAACATCCTTAGAATTACAGTTGGATTGACGGATGATTCCAGACGACAAGTACGATTAAATTTTTCGAATAAATACAGCTGTGCTACTGAAAATTCCTGCATGACACCATATGGGGCCCAGAAGTTGTTTTTAGATAAACGTTTACCTGGGAGATATAGATGAGCTAAAAGCCGGAGCTGACGGCTGAAGCCACAACACCGGCCTCTGCTGGCGATCGCTTAGTCATCCGACTTCGTTCGGTATTTTGAATGTCTCAGACGGGAAGAATTTAAATCCAAAACCGTTTGACTGGCAACTCCCACACTTAACAGACTAGATTCCTACGGCTGGGGTGGGAAACCCGTCCACTTTCGGATTGCACATGATAATTAAATTTACTTGGATTTTTTAAAGATAGACTAAATTCTGCAGATTTCTTCGCTAGTTGACCTTAACTTGGAACTATAAAATTCACAAATTCCCTATAATACCAACTCGACCCCAAAATGGTGTCACGTTATCGATAATGCTGGGGAGATTATTAGTGGTGCGCGCTAAATGTGTGATGACAACCTGTGAAATGATTTAAAAAGAGCCTGGTGTTTAGTGAGATATTAACAAGGCAGCGTGCCTGATTGGAAGGCAGGGTTGCAGCGGCCAGCACATCGTCCAAACGACTAATCCAAATGTCAATGCCCATGCTGAGAACATCTGCAGTCAAATTCCTGGAAAATGGGGACGAGTTATTTGGAGAGTTTGCTTCCAGAATGGCGCGAAGGAAAACTAGCTGATGGAAAGGCCAGTGAGAGGGACAGTCCTGCAATACTGATGCAACACCATCGTCATCCTCTTCCGATTGATCAGTAAGGTCCGTCGAGAAGAGCGGGAGAGAGCAGACAGGACAGTGGGAAATGGATGCGAAAGGAGCGGCCTCGGGATGAGTGAGCACAGTGAGCAGGATTCGACAGCCGATCTAGGAAAGACAGACATTAAACATGCAGCACTACTTAACGGTAGTCAGTAACTTGTACTTGAAGGATTTTTATCAGGTAAATGTGACTGCGCGTTAACACCACACGAGCTGAAGCCGTGATCGGAATACTTAAATGGGTTTCCAAGTAGAGAAAAAGATTGCTTACGTGAAACTAAGACACGGATTAGCATGAAATAGAATAACACGTTACTTCACGCCGACCTTTAGGTGGGAATTTCTCAAGCTACCTGTGTCAATGACACTCGCGAAAATATAGTCACTTAGGTGATATGTACTCTTTCTACTTATTTTCCGCGTTTTGCACAGGTTCAATAACGCTCCCCGGAGATAAGGTGTAAGGCCATCGGTACTTCTAACTATTTTGCACCTACTAAAACAGACAACTTTAGACAGAATAGGGTTAAGGAAGCACCTCTACTCCAGAGTTAAATAAACATTAACGTAAGCTGAAGATGATGGCTTTAGCACCCACATCGAATTGTTCTTTAGTCCAGGGGGTGGATGAGGGAAAAACATCTGATGAGTTGTTCTTTGGCTTTTCCAGGTCCCTCACACGCTTGGAAGGTTTAACATCACTATTGTCCTCCCGAGGTGCCGCAGTGAACACTTGGTCACAGAGATTACACACCCAGTTCTCGTATTCGCCAGCGGGCTTTGAGGTGCTGAGGCGAGGAAGATGACAAAATGCATGGTAACAGCGATGACAGTGCGCGCAGAAGGCCATTAAGCCTAGACCAAGACAGACGGCGCAGCCAGAAGTCCAGCCGCTGGCGCAGAAGTCCATGTCCATACCAGGCTCCGGACAGACGGGGCGGTTTACGTCCCCCACTTCCTCTTCGTCCGCCGTGCAACAGCCCTGATCGCTGTCACCTCCGCTGTCCAGATTCTGTGGACCAAATGCGAATGACATAAAAAGAGAGTGGAATTACGCGTGTGGCAGGAACGAAACTTTAGAAAGGATAATCATCTAAAATGTTAGTTTTGCTGTCAAACAAGTCAAAAATATTCAGTCACAATCATTAACATACAATGTCTTCACAAATTGGTAGCTGACGCCTGAATTTCGAACAGGCTGAAGAAAAAGGGCATCCGTTGCACAAACAATTAGATCCATAAGCTCAAATTTACAGCGGAAACTGCATGATACGAACTCAAAAAGTACAAAATTGTCTGCAAGATAAAGCTGCTAGTTAGCAAAATGAAAGAAAGCAGTAAATCGGACTTTTCCACTTTGACAAACATGACTGGTTATATAACGATTACAGATTATGCCATAAGATAGAGATGTCAACTTCCCACCCCACAAGAAACATTCGGCATATCATAACGACGATATCATTTAAGCCGAAAACGATTAACAATCCTAGTCATACGCGACCATGATACAGGCAGCTGTTTAGAAAAACGACAGGCGAAGTGCACCGCCCGTCTCCGAGTGAACTCACAGCATTGGATGCTGGACTGGACAACGGTCCTCGACCCTGGTTGCCAGTCTAACGGCGCACTGTCTTCATCAGTGCGATACGGATGTTTGATGCCTCTCTGATGTGCAGCTGCTCAACTAGGGATCTGGAGTTAAGCTACCGCTTCATCCTTTGGCACAACTACAGGTCAACATCATCCGTCGACTGGCACAGCAAAGCAACCTTCTCCCAGCTGCAAGAACAGAGTGAAAGACTCCCACGACAGAGTCTGCTGATAGCTGCTAGGTGCTTAAATGTTCGAAGTGGACCGCGGGACTCATCAAATAACCACAGTAATGGTTGACTGGGAGCGGGCTTTCGATGCAATAACAGGGAAGGAATGTGCAGTTTATGCTGCTTGTCACCAAATACACGCTTTCATAATCGCCACTAACATCTGCTAACTTCATATCCAGACGGTGGCCGTACGATCAGTCAGATTTGCCACACTTCAGTCAGTTCAAAATTTCTTAATCGGGCTAATGAGAACAGATCAATGCGTGGGGGCCAAGTCGGCAATTCTTATGCGTCGGAACAAATACTTGTTCGCACACGTCTGAAAGCTCCCCCCCCCTTCACACGCCCCTAGAATGTCTCGTGCAGGACGTCTTGATGTTGCAGAATTTCAACAACCCATCACAATCAAGACTTTGGGCACAAAAATCGGACGTTGAAGGGGAGGTCAGTAGTAGATGGCCGTACCTAAAGTTCCCAGTTCGCACAGCAGTTGACGGACTTTTCGGATGCATCCAACGACTTCTCAATGGCTGAATCGGCTCAAGGATCCAACCGCTGTCTGTGCAGGCTGCGTGAGTCAGGTCACGTAAAAAGGAGCTCCCCCACCAATCGCCGATATAGACGGTGAAGTCGGATAGATACGATCGGAAATAATACTGGGTTGATGTGGCGACTCCCACGAGGCAGGCTTTCAGTGTCTGCGACACTCGAAGGAGTTACCGGCCTTGATTGAAGTACTGTTCACGATGTGAATGGCGGCCTTATTTATGACAACTGGACCAAAGTTGAGGGTTGGCGTGGACCTTATGAGCGAATACTCAAACCCTATGACCAATCCATCAACGCCGTTTTTCGTCTGCAGCGGAGTATTATCTAGCTCTAGCCTAATGCGGCATAAGACTCATCGACACTGCCGCAGAGGCCTTTGCCGTCTTCAGTCAGATGGTTTCAGAGTGTGCGTGACTTAGGGTCCAGAACAAAATAAGCCGGTTACAGAGGGCGGCGCTGATAGACCAACTAAAGATACACTCTGTGGTGCATTTTTCAGCTTGAGAATGGTTATCGGAGTCGGAGGGTAGTCTGACTTGCTGATCTTATTACTGCCTTCGATCACTTTCATCGTTAGTCTGTTGCGAATAATGGAACCAGACGGTTTTCCGACAGAAATAACCGCTGAGTCAAGCCTCTAAACGCCCCACCACTGATCGAATTCTGGTCCACAATGATTTCCACAAACTGTCTGGCGTGCGATAGGGTCGCACTCTGTCGTCCATCCTCTTTAACCGTGCCATTGACTAGGACCTCCAAATGACTTTACGCAGTTTTGGTTTGACACGCATTGGGAGTCTGCTTGGTGATTTCTTACTTATGGTCGTGAATGCTGGGCTGTGCGCGTGGAAGACTGAAAATTTTAGGCGTTTGACTAACGTCGTCTCGGAATCATCCTTCGTCTAAAGCATATCGAGTTTATCTCGAATGAGATGGTCGACATTCAGTGAAACAATCCCCCTGAGGCGGTTTGGGCGTATTCCTCGTCGTCAGGTACAAAAGGTTATAAACGCTGCCTACCTGGAGGTGTCGATGCGGAGGTCGACTAATTAATGAGGTTCATGGAGGTTATTTTTGGAACTGTGGTATTTCACCTTCATTGCTAAAAAGATTGGATAGACCTATTCTGGTTCGCTGCTGGAGATCTTCATGGGCGGCAAGGTACAATTCCCGATGTAGAGGCCAGCTAAATAAGACATGATGACACCAGTACTTAGAGCAGGTGCCCTCTTAATTCAGTCAGCAATGCTGGTGGTCTGCGACCGGTTATTAATAGAACTTATGTTTATTGCACAAGTAACCCTCAATGAAATTACGCCTCTTCAATATCACCCACGAAAGCGCCGAGTATCCAACGGTTAGGCACATGGATTTGTCCCGTCTTCCTGACACATTTCAAAGATATTCGGAACTACACTAAGAGAACAAAGTCGCGCTGTGTTGTTAGTGGAAAAATAACCTCGTTTCAATAAAAACGTCAAGCATCGTAGTCCTTTTAGGGTGACCAGCATATAGAATGAATTGCCGGTTAAAAGTAGACTGAAATGCAGTCTAAGAGTAGTGATTGAAAACTCACGTCTGTGGGCGGTAGACGTGGACTACGACGACTAGGTGACAAGATAGCCGCATGGGAGTTTGTATTTTTGTCGCGTCCCTCTGCTCTGAGGCCCTTGTCACGTGTCCAGACCACAATCATAGACTGACTGACCAAGTCGGCCACATCATGGCCATCCAAGTGTAGGACGCGTGCAAGTGCAGAAGAACGCCATCCCTGAGTCTTTTGTAGTTCCGTCAGTGTGCGGGAATCAGTTTCAGCCCCGAAAGGTGCGGCATCGAAGGAAGTTTCGTCAGAGACTAAACAATCCGCCTGGTCGGCTAGATTAGCAAGACGTGCTTGCAACCGCGTTGACAACTGGACCAGGCTGGCCGGATCTTTTTCGGCGTTCTCTAGTAGGCTCCTCGTCATCTGGAGTGTGAATTCAATCCTTTCCTGAACAGTGCGAAAAAAGGAACATAGGAAACTGTACGTACGCCATGTGAATCCAGTAGGAGGCGAACTAAACAACTGCTTGAAAAACTGGTTGTGTGCTTCTAGAAGGAGCACTTAATATAAAGGAGTCAAACAGCCAATAGTGTGACATGAGGTGTCGTCCCTGATACATGTTCCGGTGTAACATACTGGCCATATTCAAAGTGAGGCCAGAAATCAGCTGTTAAGATATTAACCACTGCGCTGTTTTAGTCACGATCCTGTAGATGTTGTCAGAAGCATAATCAGAAAAGAACCTTTTCAAAGGCGCAGGTGCTGTCCGAGTCATTAACTGATAATTTCTGCCTGTCCGTTCAATTACCGGTTTCTAATACGCATACGGTGAAGGTTTCATTGCGCCACTTAGGATTGGAAGGCAAATGAAACATATATCGTTAAATGACCAAACGAATTTAGTAACTTTACCCTCCCCCCCTCTTAATCAGCTTCAAATTGTACTTCCTTAAAAATCTGGCTGCAAACGTCAGAGAACAAGATTCAGTTCACATATTTGAGAAATATAAAAATTCAGGCAGCTCTGATCGAGAAACTCCTAAGTGCGGAAGGGACGGCAGAAAGCGAAAACCACCCTCACCACATCGAATTTGCTACTGTGAAAGACGATAATCTACACAAAGCGCCATGCTGGGAACCGAAAACCTCAATGAAACAAGCAAAGAATGGCGCACAAACCTGGAGGAGCTGCATTTGAGATTCTGCTTTTGTCAGACGAAATAAGTATTCGTTGGCCCGCTCGTCAATTTCAATTTCTAATCGTTTGGTCTGAGTCTCAACTGCCTTGATTAGGTCAGTCGCACGCTTCTTGAGGGCCTCTTTAACAGCAGCGACACTCGTACGAAGAGTGCCTGATGCGGAGGAGGCCCGCGAAACGAGCTGCGACGAATCCGACAAGAGTTGTAATTTCTCCTCAAAGGATGAGACAGTTTCAGCGAGGGAAGGCTTTAACAATTCAGCCTTTTCTCCGACCCACCGATGACCGCCGTGTTCACGGTGCGCGGAAAGTTGACAATCACGACACGTCAGTACTCCACATGCTTCACAGAACAATTCCAAAGATTCTCGAGGATGTATTTCACATCTTAAATCTAAACAGTGGGCAAGCATTTACTGATACGATGAAAAGTTCGAGCAGGAAGACAGAAGGCAATAGACACAGATGTTATTGTGTTAAAGTACTGATAATTTTGTTAGGCAATACTAAGTACGTAAATATTCGGAAACCTTCTAAGAGCCAGTCATCTCACAGTTGCCAGAACGACTTCCGTAGAGATCGACTTGATCAGGAAGTTTATTACTGCTGAAAAGTATGGAATGCTGGAGGACTGTACGCACTACGGGGTTTTCTTTTGCAAAGCTTTGCAGGCAGTAAGGGATAGAAATGGACAGCCGGGCCGCATAAAAATAGGGCATCAAGAGAAGGCAAAAGTATACGGATGCGTGTGTGCGGCGGTCGATCGAAAAAGTCTCAGCACTTAACAAACGGGGAAATAATGTAAATATAACTCACTGGTATCTGAAGTGTCCACAAATATTGTAACCTTGTGAGATCGCAGAGGTGGCATCCTATTATGTCCCTTAATGCATTCTGGGCAAAGCCACTGCTTGCATTGCTCACAATGACCAGTTGATGCATTTATTTCCCCGCCCTCAGTGCACCAGGCACAATTAGGCGTCTTGTTACGAACATTTAGTTTACATAGCACGCTGTTAAATATGAACTAAGAATGATGAACGGACAACTGTATGTACTTTTTCGCTGACTTCATTACATTTTACGCATAAATAGCCTTCAGAAACAGAAAGTTTGTCTTTGCAATTATTGCAAAACGCGTGCAGACAACGACACAGGATAAAATAGGCGTCCTGCGTTCCACACGCGAAACAGGCAAAGCTTTTGGACAGGTTATTGAAGGTCTCCGCATTTGAAAATGTATCGTTGGCACGTAAGGCACCAGGTACCCCAATAATCGGCGGCGAACTAGACATATCCATTTAGCACCAAATGGTCAGATTCAAATAACCGCGTCTACTCCTGTGCAGAAAAGCAAAGTCTACTTATGATGGGTATCAAACACAACTATGCCCATCGTAGATTTCTTCACTCCTACGCGTCCTCGCAACTCATTTCTAAAATTACTACGGCTCAGCTGGATGACTTTGACCTGATGCGCGTTCACAATACTGCAAATGTATATAAATCAACTGGCAGGACATGTGCCTCTTAAAGTACAAAGAGGATCATGTAGTTTATTATGATGCCCAGACTGGTGATGATTTTGGAGTTGGTAACAATAACACTGCAGTTCAATTTATGGCAGGCCCGTCGCAGAGAACTAGGAAATCACGTCAGGAGAGGTAGAATAAGTTAAATAGGTGCAGGGGTCCACTTGAGCTCGGAGGAGCAACTGAGTAAGTACAGCAAAAAAACACATTACAAGAGTAAAAACTTATCAGCATATGCAACATATAGCTTGGCAGAAATGTTTTCTTTTTAGAACTATGAATACAAAGGGGAGGAAAACGATCAATGCCATCGCTCAATGGCCTGAATTTAGATGTTGTGATGTCACCATAATATGGAAATCTGGACGTGAGTCTCGAGGGATGAGCACATTCCTCGTTGCTTCACCCCATTCTGGAACACAGATTTCTTGAGGCTCTCTTTACTTCGTTACTGGCTCACATACGAACGACCACACGTTCGCGGAGGAACTGCAGGGACATTGCTTTCATAGTTGTTTCAGTGAAGCTTGTCCACTGTTCTAATATCAATTGTGTGGAGAATGCAGGCGGATTATTTAAGTTGGGAATTTTTGCACAGAGTTTTATTGGGTATCAACGTAACTAGGGCACATGAGACCACCAAGGCGTACCGTAAAATATCAGCCATGTCTTAATTTACTTAGTACTCCATAAACCAGGACGGAGTTTGTCCTCTACTACCCGTAACGCAAGGGGAATGGGCCAATGACTGCTAGCTCTTCTGATGAAGACGAACTTCTTCAAACGTTTTACAACTTTCATTTGCCTTGCATATTTTTAGGGGAATAGCCCAAACAAAAAGCAATGAAATTCTGCACTCGCTATCAGAAAACGAAGACACCGTCTTCTTACTTCTGCCGTCTAAATGACCACCTGATTTCATGACGTATTCCATGCTGCCGAGATGAAGTTACAACCATTATCAGCGCATTTGTTCTTACACTGGGAAGCTATAAGGACACACAAGTTCCCCTATCCTTGCACGCGCTTTTTCATATCTCATCTGAAGTTCAACAAGTCGATATTTTCTCGTACTTCGGAGTCCAAGTTAACACTAATCTCAACACCCATTAAGGAATATTTTTAATTCAGTTGAGTTACTGAAAGAAAATAGGTGTGGACCTTTGGATATTCAGTAATATCCAGTATAATTCAGTTTATATGAGGGATATAAGCAGAGTCTTGGAAAACCCTATTTGCTGATTGAAATATGACAGGCATGCAATATTTGCATAACAGTTTTCCCAGCCATTGTTATCGAGTAAATACTGGACCATTAAGCATGAATTTATCAAGTTTTTCTCAAAGGTTTCTGCCAAGACGACGGAGTTCGGCAAATCATTCCATCCTTCAACCAGCCGATGGGAGAAGAATTTGGCCCGCACTTCAAGTTTGGCATATTTTATCTCCAATTTGTATTGGTGGCCTAGAAGATAGGTCGTTCGCGCCACTTCGAAGAGCTCGTCAAACTGAATAGCACAGTCCAGCCCTCTGATGACCCTGAAGGCCATGACCCTATCCACTCTGTATTGTCTATAATAGAGAAGAAATATTTTTAGCCTTTCCAGGCGTCTTTCATAAAGTAAGCAACTTAAGCCGCCGACCAGTTTGGTTGCTATTCTTTTTACGTTCTCCAATAAGGTGTAATCTTGTTTCGTGCAAGGGAACTATACCTGAACGCAATGCTCCAACGCTGGCCGAGCAAATGTTCCAAGTACTTGGCCGAAAAGTTTTTCGTCAAAATTGGGTAAGGACCTTCTAATCGAGCATAGGATATCCATGGTCTTCTTTAATACCTTGGCGAAGTGAGACGATGGCTTGAGAGTTGACGTCATCCACACACCGAGGTCTCTTAACTCGTTGACTGATTCGCGTTAGTGACCTCATATATATTGGTGAGATTCAAATCTCAACGGCCTCCTGTTGCTAGATCGTAATCGGATAAGTTGGCACTTGTCAAGTTTGAGGTTAAGACGTCATTCCTCAAACCATTGCTGTAGGCTATCAATAATGTTTTTGTAACTGTATCAAGTATTTCGACCTCTCTATCGGCAAACACTACGCGCTCGCAATTCCCACAGTTCATGGGTAGTTGATTCCAAATAGCAATTGCATTTACAGAAAAGAACCCACGATATTTGGCAGTACGTGCCAGAGGAAGAAGTAAAAAGACGTCACGGTGACTGTTACGTCAGGGGTGGACATGATGCCTTAAAGAGGTGAGTGGTTTAAATGTGTGATTATATGAGAGCTTAAATAGCAAAAATAGTTCCTTTTGTAATCTACGGAACCATAAAGGATCAAGGCCTGTAAGCAGGCAACGTTCTTGGTAAGACAAATGTCGGTGTTCCGGGGTTAAAATTCTCTTGGTAAAAAAGTGTTGAACGAATTCTATTTTCTTCCGCTCAGTAGCACGCATGAGGCTAAATGAAAACGAATTGTATTCCAGGTCAGGTCTAACGTACATGTTGTAAAGGCGCATTCTTATATCCCTAGTTTTGAAGTTTCGGAGGATAAACCCGGTCGTTCTACGTGCTTTGGCACAGTGCTCCTAGAGATTGCGATTCTTAGAGTATGATACGCCCGGATCCTTAATAACCCCAGGCACATTTATGGCGTGATCTTCAATACTTAGTTGAGGTTGGCGGTCGTCGCCAACTATCATGACTGAGCACTTATGCCAAGAAAGAGAAAGGCGCCATGTGCGGCACCACTGGGCGAAAGCCAGCAGGTCGATCTTTAGGAGCTCCAGCACTATGTCACGATCTGCCGGCTTAGGACGATATGCAACTTTCAGATCATCGGCATAAATGAAAGGCTTTCCATTCTGGAATAAATCGGGTACATCATTAACGAAAAGGCAAAATAAAAGCGGGCCGAGTACACTTCCCTGAATGGCTTCACTCCTCACACGTGTGGGATTGGAGATAGTATTGGAAAGCTTAACGCGTTGTCTACGAGTGCCCAGGTAAGAGGATATAAAATTGAAAAGTTTGCCACCTATTCCAAAAGAAGACAGTTTCAAGAGAAGAAGAGCATGGTCAACACGACCAGAGGCCGTAGTGAAATCGAAATATACTGTGTAAAATGCAAAACCATTGTCCCTAGATTGGAGAACATAGTCAAAGAAAGAGAGTTGACAGGTGTCACAAGACCGAGCTTTGAGGCATCCATGCTGGGCAGCACTCAGTGGGTTATTCTCTGTTAAGTGACACATCATCTTATCTTTGAGCAATGTCTCTAAGCTCTTCGAAACTGCGGGGAGGGTGTTTATTGGCCGAAATGACGTAGATTTGCCGTGCTTAGGAATGGGCAAAATGTGTGATTCCTCCCGTAGGGTTGGATAAGTTTCACTTTCAAGAGCGAGATTAAATATCTTGCATAAGAGGGATGGGAAAATCGTCTTTGCATCGGCTTTTAAAATGCTTACTGGGACACTATCAGGTCCTGGACTATAGGATTGACGAAGACGCCGAATCGCAACAGTCACATCCCACGGAATGAAAGTTATAGTTTCTAGGACTGTCCCAGTCAGTGCCTGGATGGTCGGAAGCGGAGTGGTCGAGCCTTCAATAAACTTTTTGGACAGGCAATGATTGAAGGTATCAGCGGTTAACTGGGCACCAACTATGGGATTTCCGAGAGCGTCTCGGAGGATGGGATGCTGCGTCTTTCTGTGAGTTCGTATTTTTCTAGAGAAAAGTTTCCAGACATTTAACGAATGATTTTCGCTAAACTGGACGTCTTAGGCTAGCTGCTGTTCTTCAGACAATCTCTTAGCCCGCTCAAAACTATCACAAGTCAAGGGCTAGCCAGAAACGTCGTTCTGAAGATGGAATCGCCGATAAAGTCTGCGCAATCTGCGACGAAAGGGTAAGGGTAGGAAAATCTCATCCCAAACTTTAATTAGTTGCTTACGGGGGACAAAACGAGAAATAATCGGATCCAAAATCTCGTACAGTTTTGCAGTGCAAATATTTACATCCGAACTAAGGAAGAAATCAATCCATTCGTAAGAATTAAGGTATGTTAATAATTCGGTTGAGCGAGTTGATCGGAAATCGTGGAAGAAGTTATACTTTGGGGACAAAGTTTTGTCAGCCTCGAATTCCAACGTTGAAACAATTATGTCATGGTCTGAGCCCCCGAGTGGCTCAGAAGATAGATAGATAGATAATTTTTATTAAAGACCCCTCGGGGTCCCATCAAAGCAAGTTAAAATAAATTTGCATGCGAGTTTTAGACGAGGTAGGCCGAATCTTTACAAAATGCAATTCATAGTTTCTGAATTAGAAGTCCATTGATTAACATGATGATTGAGGGGTGAAAAAAAACTCCTTGGAAAAAGTTAAAAATGATTGGATTAATTTTACAGGAGAAAAAAACCCCTCTTTAAAAATAATAACAGAAAAAAGCGAGCAGGACTGGCCTGTAGGTGGCGGTATATAACGGAATGTTTTCGGTCATCGTCAGGGTATCAATAAATGTCCGCCTTGATGGGTACGAATGTGGGTCAGACAGGACTGGCTTGCATGTGGCATTGTATACGGGATTCTCAATTGAGATCGTCTGGGCCGGATTGGTACGCCGCGTCAAAGAGGCCAGACAAAGACGAAGTTGTGCAGCCTCTACAGAAAATCAGGTCAAGTATACTTGATCCTCGGGTGGGAAAATTGACAACCTGCGTCCACATCCCATCATCCACAGCCTCAAGAAAGTCTTCAAACCTTCTGGGGCCTGAAGGCGGAGTCCAGCGGACTTCAGGGAGATAAAAGTCCCCCGCAACCAGTTGATACTTAAAGCGTGAGTCGGCCGCAGCATAAAATGCCTGTGAGAGTAAACGATCAAAAATTGTTATTGGTGTTGGGAGGGCGATAGACGCAGCCAACGAGTAAGGCGAACTTATTTTCTAATGGAACTTGGAGCCAGAAGCTGCCTTCTACTGCGGAAAAATGCGGGAGGTCAAACGGCAAAAATGCAAGTGTTTGCTTAACGTAGACGTAACTGTCCCCACCACGGCTGTCTTAAAGATCATTTCGAATGCATTTCTAGCCTAGAAGAGAGAGTTCAGAGTCAGCTACGGAGGCTGACGCTCACGTCTCAGTTACTAAAAATATCTGGACAATGGACGAACGCCAAAGTCTAAAGCAAAGGCATCTTATTATGCAAGGATCTGGCATTTAAAACAAAAAGATTGAGGGGAAAGGCTGTTTGTTTCTGAGGGAGATGGACTACGTCGTCCAGTGTTTGGCTGCCCACGGAGCAAACGGTCCGGATGTACCCATCCGATTCTGCAAAATATTTTGTGGCATCAAGAGATTCTGACGTGGATAAAAAGGGGTAGGACTTGGGGGAGGAAACGACGGACAAGTAAACTGATAACCATTGTTAGCTAACTTATTTTCAGCTGGAAATCCGCGGGCCAGATACTGCTACACATTCCCGCCTTAACAAAACTGAGGATCGGACGAGTTAACTGATCCAGTATGGACATTAGCATGAGGAATATATTGGTAAAACGGCCGTGGAGAAAACAAGTTAGGGAGTGGGGACGCATTGTTTCCATTGGAGCAAGAGTTCAATTAAACGGCGGGAAAAATCGGCATATTCGGCATAACTGCCTCGATATGAGGGCTGGGGGGGCAGTTGGGGACACGCTACGTTTTGAGTCGGGGTGTTTGAGGCACTATTTGCCGATTGTGGAGGAAAAGCTTTTATAATGGTGCTGGATTTTTCGGGTGTCCGAGTGGCTGAGACAGCAAATGGATTTGCCTTTGACTTAGACGCATGATTAGGCTTACTAGGGGTTGCTGGGGGAGTCGATAGAGGCGTGTGGTGTGTTTAAATAGTTCAGCATTAAGAGTAGCCGAATTCCCTACGGAATTGACTATGCCGTGACGTGCAGAGACCGCAGATGGTGTTGTAGAGGACTTATTCAAACTGACAGTAGGTGTCATTATCTTGGTGTTGGTTTTTGCCAGTTTTAATTTATTCAGTCTTCGCTGCAGGGGTGTGAGGTCTAGCGAAACGGAACAGCGTCATTTACGGCAGAATTTTCTAGTTATCTCCCTCCTCGACAAGATAAAATCGACTTCTATCATGGAGAAAAGAGTAACTAGTATCGGCGCATTACGGCTAAGCGAACGCAGTCGTTTAGCTTGTGCGACACTGAAACTCAAGCCAAAACTTTGTAGAAACCAATGAGCTCCCTCCATAGCAGATAAGTGGCTCGGAATGTTACGCAGTACGCAATTATGCTTGCGTTTAATTCTTTGCTCAGTTTCCGAACGTATTACCCCAATAAGTTTAAAAGCTTGTTCAACAACTTTTTCAGAATTGCTGTTTATGTGGCCATATATCAATCGATCGACTGTTTCCTCGGCTGATGGCCTGCTACGACTAGCAGGGGCGTATTTTTGGACGATTGAAGGGTCAAGAGGTTTTACATGTACTAAAGGATTTTTGAGTTAATCAGATCTGCAGAAGACGAAGAACATGTGCTGGCACCTGCTATGTCTTCAGTCACGATTCTAGCACCCAGAGACGGTGGGGAGGCCGCAAGCCTTCGTCTTTTAGCACGCGCTCTGCGGGGCATTACAGGCAAGAAAAGTTTTTCGTTACAGTAGAAGGATCAAAACGTTGCCAGTGTACAGAAAAGCGCATTGAATAGCAAGTACTACTGTTATTTAACTACGAAAACTAGAAAGAGATAGTCTGGAACGGAGTCACTACAAAGGTTTTTTACAAAATACGACTATTTTTTCAGACTGTCAAATGAAACTGGGAAAAAACTATACCTTGTTTTGAAAGGCGATTTTAAAATTGACTCAAGTAAACAAACAGGAGTTAATTGCTTAAAAATATCCAAGAAAAAGCAAAGCTTCACTTATCTTTGAAATTGAGCTTCCTTATTTCTGACGTCACCTACTCTGGTTGGGAAGTGCGCGGTTTCCTCTGAAGTGGGAAATCGCTCTCTACTAAGTGCTGCATTACGTTATTGAAGAAGAGCCAATCGCTTTCTGTGTCAGCTCCTTGTGTTGCATTCCATTTCACCTTCTGTAGTAGATGTTTCATTCGGGAATAATCCCCTTTCCATACACTTCTTTCCTCAGCAGCTCGAATTTCGGGTACAGAAAAATGACTATACACCCAAACAAAAACGCCGTGGTCACTTCAACCGAGGGGCGTTTGCGATTCCAATCCGAAAGTGTAACTATCATCCCTAGTGATGATGAGGTCCAAACAACTGGACTGCTGTCCATCTCTGAATCGAGTGTCCACTTTAAAATGTTGCGTAAGGAAATCATTTGTGATCAGTTGAATAAATTTCTGTTCGAAGGAGTTTTCTGCTCGCGTACAATGCATAAAATCCCACTCGATGTCTGGACAATTGAAATCACCAAGTAAAATTATGTGTCTGCTTTGACAAATTTCTTTTATCTCGGTAGTGATTGCAACGTCCGCATCCGTCCGCTGGCCTGGCGGGCTGTAAACCAGGGTCATGTGGAAGTTCGGATTGTTTGGCACTTTCAAGTAACGACTGCGTATTTCACAATCAATGTGCCGAAATGGGGAAGACTCAACCCTGAAGTAGTCGATGCCATCTCGTACAAATATCGCAACCCCCCCTTCGTTCGTTTCGGTTCATTCGGAGAAGCTGAAAACTAGCTAGCATAACTTTCACGTCTTTTATCTGTGCACTTAACCACGCTTCTGTTAAGGCTATCTAGTCGGGTTAGGAATGGGCCACGGCGAGTTGTATTTCGTCCATTTTGTTGAATAAACTCTGCAAATTTGTGTACATCATTTTTATATTATTCGGTTGTTTAGACGTACAAAAATTGTCTGCTAATGCTTTTGACTGATAGTGAATACTGGATATTTCACATGGCGTACCAGGTCCAGTACTCGATCTTAAATTTACTGAAGTTTGTCGCAACCGAGCGCCCGTGCTTTTACCGTCAATGCCACCGGATGATTCCACCAGATGGAACGCTCTATTTCACAATTTGATTGTTTGGTTCGTTGGAATCCAGAAAGCTTTTTGTATGTCAAAGATGGCGAGAAATCAATGATGTCCCTTAGACTGTCAAATGAGTTCTTGATTAACTAGACACGAAAGTGCTGCCATGGCGACTACTTTGCCAATCCTCTCAATTTTGCACTATTTTTACATGATCGTCCCATTTGCTACGCAGTTAACAACAGTTTTTATAGATTTTTAAGTCTGGCTTTGCTAACCTTAATAATTTATTCTATTTTGATTTTGCTGAAACAGTTTTGAGAGGACGACTTCAGTGGTCATACGTAGGTCAGTTGGGGCCGAGATGTGCTGTCTAGTTAACAGTGAGCGTTGCGTAGTCGGGAAAGTTCTGTATTGATAGGCGATATCTACGAATTTCGCTTTCAACCATCTCACATTGCCCTCTGACGTCGGTGTTACTTCCGATAATTGGTGATATAGGTCTTCAAATTGAGCCTCAATCTCCGTCGGACCTATTTATCTTCGCGGCACACAAAACTTAAGTTCCAGAGAGAGGGCCTCGGCGTACAGTTTAGTCAGTTTCAAATTCGACATGTTAACGATGTAGTCATCTGGATTTACTGGAAACGATTCGTCTACGGGTTGTCTATTCAATGAGATGGTTGAAAACGGAATTCGTAGATATCGCCTATCAGTATAGAACTTTCCCGTTTACGCAACGCTCACTGCTAACTAGACAACACATCTCGACCCTAACTTAAACAGTTTAAACAAATTAATGTCGATGGTGAGGCCGGTACTAAGGATCTATCCCTACGGCACGGTGACGTTATCCTTACCATATTAAATATAATATAGAATAGTTTATGATAGCACCTCATGGACGCTGTTTGTATTCTTAGAACACAGGAGAAATAGCAGAAACAGAGTCATCTGCTTCGGTTGCACTCTAATTACATATGTTTTGGGTGTCCTTTTGGTCAGTTGTGTGCGGTTCGAAGATTTTTTTAAAACCTAAAATCCCGAATTCCGAGGCAGAGTGGTAAGAAAATTTTAAAACCAGAAATACGACATAAGAATTTAGTTTTATGTTAAGTAGCTTTTGGCGTCGGCAACACTTCGCCTTCCGTGGAACATGGGGGAATCTAATTTCAACCAGAGGTCGAATTGGCTGCGAATTGATCAGTTTGGATTTTGGTTAGTGCAACGCTTCTCAAATTTTATTGAGTTGTTTGAATGAAGTGAATACTTTCTGCGCAGATCTGAGGTAGTGATGGTACAAATGCGTGTCGGTGAAAATAATTAATACACTTCCCTCTCTACTGCCGACACCCATCCGGCAAATCGCTGTAACTATCTCCTCTTACTCTACTTTGTCACCCTCCACAGCCCTGCCCTGGAATTGTCTACAGCGCTGCGTTACCCACCGGTTGTTCAGCAGAGATGTCAACAACATCTGTCCACCCAACCAAGTCATCCCACTGTTGTAAACCGTTTTTCTTGTACATTGAACTATTAAAATATATGGTCAGTTTCCTTCTGCCTCTATTACGCATTCATGGCTACTAAATTCTTCTTTCACCATTTCGTCTGAATGAGCATAGTAATACGTTTAACAACTCTCTTCAGTTCGAACGTAATCAGGATTTTTTTATAGCGCTTCATTTACTCGGCGTGTGCTACCCTTGATTTTATTGGCCGCTACGTTAGTTGCTGGTTGACAGTTTTTGACAGTTACTTAAATCCGATCGCATCGCTCATTTATTCCGTTCGGATGGCTAATCATAATTACCTTCACTGGCAGCTGAAGGAGATGGATATGAATGAAAAGCATGGAACTTTCTGTGGTCGGGATCGGTCAGAGTTATCGAAATAATATCATACCAGGTATCACATTGCCTCTGACAATGTGGTATTGTAGGAGAACTGATCAGTTGTTTCGTATGATCTTATCTAGCCTTAATGTGGTCTCATATAGCCTTAAGGACAGCTACTATGCCGAACTTTATGGGAAGGCATATTAGTATTTGTTACTTGAGGTTCATAGTGTTCAATGAGTCAGCTAATGAAAATGACTAGAAAGGAAGAGAGGGAATATATGCATTTGTGGTATGTTTATGAATTATACTGTCCATCTTATATTTAGTTGTTTTTATTGGGCCTTGAGGATTGTGTGGGACTGCTATGCCATGATTAAGCAAACCATGGCCCTTGGCAGTCTGGTGTGCGCTGGCGGCTATTTGACACCTGGTTTCCTGCCAGTGGGTGCGCTTGCGCTCCCCCAAGTATACAGGTCGTGTGCAAGGTTGCCCATTGACTTGTGCCACCCACCTCTTTCAAACCTGTTTTCTGCCGCCGGTCAAAATCCTGGTCGTGTCTGTTGTGGACCAGGGCGCGTAGTAGTACGCCAAGGTGCGGGTCAGGGTGTGCCAGCCACCTACGCCCTCTCCCGCCTTCGGTCTTCCTAATTATGTCTTACCGCCGAGCTCAGGCGGAGGGAGGAGAGAGTGCGGTAGATGCTGTGCAGGTCTAGTATCACTATAAACTCATTAATGCACAAGTTACCTTGTCCGCTCCCACCTTGCTGTGGGGCACATGGTGGACATCGTCGGCAGTGACGGTCGAACAGCAAATTATTTTAAGGGCTGTATTCTGGTGTTGTTCTAGTGACAGGTGTGGCGGCCAGCCATCATGAGCGGTCTGGCATCATTGTTCAGGACCTCGATGCCTCAAGGTCATTCACCCCTTGCAGTAAGCCGTTCCAGACGCGCTGGCCTGAAGTCACACGACCGACAACTCGGGTAAACCTGCGTCCGCACAACCACAGCTGCCCATGCGGTCACTTGAACGCACCTCCCCCTGCCACCGCAACCTAAGCCATTGGGACACCACCGCTCGGCAAATGCAACACACACTGACTGGACACAACTTGAGCTTGGCCCACGAGCCAACAAAAGCCGCTGTCACCACTGTCTCAGGGACTCTCAGGCATGACTGGACGCAGTCAACGACAGCCCTGGCTTCGCCAGTGGCCACAGCTGCCTGAGAGGACAACTCCGGTTTCTGTGCACAATAAACCCCTCATTCTAGTGCCTTCTGTCTTCTCCTTACGATATGGGATTGGAACTGGTGGTTGTAGCACTCAGAGCACTTATTCTAGTCACCTAGCCGCTACACCTGCATCATCATAGCCCATTCGGTCCGAATTCTGGTAATCAACTGACTTGAAAGGTCTCATATGTAATTCAAAAATAAATCTATATTGTTACTTAAAAGAAATTTCTTGTTTCCTATTTTAAGTCCCCTCGCGTCTCGACTTTTTCGAATAGAACCTGGGAGGGCATTCCATTTAATCGCCCATCTTATGAAATATAAGTTTGAGAGTTGGGACTTTTTGAACTGGGTAATTCTTATAATATCTTCGTCATTTCTAACTTCTCGCGAGTGTTCTGGACTGTTAGCGCATTAAGTCTGGGAATAACTTCGTTGTGTGTGCCTGAATAGGAAATGGAGACCACTTAGAGTCTTCTGATCCAGGGGGGTCGAAGACTGTATTTATGGCATAGTCCTAAGCATGAATTTTTATGCCATCACAGTTGGATAAAAATTTAATATAGCGTTTCTGAATGCCGTCTAGTTTCTTCCGGCTGTCTAAATGCATTATGTCAGAGAAAATTAAGCAGCTATCTACGAGAGATAAAACGCATATTTTACACAGTTGTGAGCTTAGCGTATTTAAGGTGACGTTTTTACATATGAATATGCATATGCGTGTGGTTTTCGCTTATATTTATTCAGCGTGGTTGACTAAGTCGAGAGTATTTTCATAGCTTAGGCCTAAGATTCTACTGATGATACCTCTGTTATTTCTTGATCATTAAACATTATCTGACGAAGTTTTTGGGGACTAAGAAGTCAAGAGATGCTGCTTCGTTGGTGAGCATGGAGTTTCTGATTGCCTACTCAATTCGTTAAGTTTTCTAAATCAATTTCGATCTTTTCGTGCATTACGGCGACCATATACTGGTCGGAAACAGGCTGAGGGGTGGCTGGGTGTGTATCCGCCATGGACTCGCTTATATCTGGATTCGTGTTTAGCTTGAGTTCATGTATGCTCATTTGTTTACTGAGCTGAGCCCGAAGGGCTTGGTAGGCAGCAGAAAGAGCCACATAACGGTTGATGGAGGCTGTTTCCATGTGTCAAGCCTCGATTGTTTCCCTGGCTATGCGGTCGCTTCCTCGGCCTAGAATTTCGGCATGCTGAAAGGCGAACGTGTGTCCGGAATCAGCGCAGTGTTCGGCCAGCAGAGACAGAGGGTTCATTCGCCTTACTGTCCTCATGTGTTCTTCAACACGGGTCCGTAGTCGTTTGCCGGTCTCCCCAATGTACTTGACTTCGCAGGAGTTACACTGAAGCCGGTAGATGACGTTCGTGGTGTCGCCTCGTGGCAGAGGGGCCTTAGGTCTCATAACCAGGTGTCAAATTGTTGACTCCGGTCGGTGGGCGATGTCGATCCCCAGCGCTCTTAAGAGACGGGAGACAGCCTCAGAAACGCCGTTGATGTATGTAAGCGCCCGCCATATTTTTGGCCGTTCTGTCACCAAACGTCGGATCGTTCTGGCCTGTCTGCCACGTTCGATGAAGTTGCGAGGATACTCGTTGGCCATGAAGAGGCGCTGGAGG